TTGAACCGCCAGCCTTCTGGTTAGCAATCAAGTGCCTTAGGCACTATGCTACCAGAGCTCCCCAACCCAGTTATAGAAGTATTCAAAGTAAAATAAGCTTACAAGACTGTAAACAGGGAACCAGAGACATCAATTGGTAAACGGGGACAACTACAAACCAAACAGAGGGAATAAATAGTATAGTTACAGAACTTCTGAATGGTGAGGAAATCAAGACAATTGTGAGATAGAACAGACTGATTAAAACTTGGGAAGAAAATTATGAATCACAGGGTAAACTCAAAGAAAAATAATAAACCTTTACATCAGAAGAAAAAAAGAGGACAAGCACAAATACTAAAACAATAGCAATGAAGGCAACGATAACATGATCCATAAACAAAATGAGCTCAGCACCAAAAATTATATGCAACAATGAAATCAGCAACACCATGAAAAAACACATAGCAAAATGACATCAATAAATTCATATTTACTGACAATTACACTGAAGGCAAATGGATTAAATCCACCACTTAAGAGATGGGGAGTTGCAGACTGGAGAAGAAAACATGACCCATCAATATGCTGTCTACAGGAGACTCACCCTAGACACAAAGACAAAAATAGACTAAAAATCAAAGGTTGAAAACAGATATACCCAGCAAATGGCAACCAAAAGAGAACAGGAGTGGCAATATTAATTTCTGATAAAATAGACTTTAAGACCAAAATGACCATAAGAGACAAGGAGAGGATTGGTTAGTTTTGCTATGCTGCTGGGCTTGAAATGAGCCTTCTTAGAGGCAGAATGGGGTATCTCGCTGCCATGAAGAGAGAAGAGCAGGAGGTGGAGTGGAGAGAGTCCTTGGACCTGAGATCCCCGCACGTCCCTCCTTGGCAGAGGTGCCCAGTTGAGAGATACCTGGTTGACACAGCAGCGGGCTTACCTGGCCCACAGAGGAAGGCAACTGAGTGCCTTCGGGCAGGAGGCTTGCTGGCGGAGTGGGGGGCACCTTTAGGAGTACCATCAGCAGAGCTAAAAAGAGCTTTGTAACACACTTGCCCGAGCAGAGGCCAGTCCAGAGGCCAAGGGCCAGAAAGGCGTGCCTGAGGGCACAGCAGAAGGGAGACTGTCCTGATGGAAGAGCTGTATCCTGAGAGTGTTCCTGAACCTGAGTTGTAGCGCGTTACTTCCCTTAAAATAAGAATAAAAAAAAACATAAACATGAGTATTGTCTGTGAGTCCTGTGTGGCCATTGCAACAAATTATCAAATCCAGCAGAGAAGTAATGAGAACCATGGGAGGGACGTTGGTGTAAGAACTGGCAAAAAGGCTGGAGGGTAGCATGTCTGGCGTCACAGGAATAAGCCTTGGGCTGCTGATGGTGACTCTGTTTCCCCCTTGTGAGGCTGCAGGAACTCAGAAGACCACCTCCTTGCCCTTTTAGCAATAGGTATGCATGTTGTTGTTGTTGTTATGTGCCTTTGAGTCGGACCCGACTCATAGCAACCCCTCCTTGGGTTTCCGAGGCAGTATCACTATGGAAGTAGATTGCCCCATCTTCCTTCCAAGGAGTGGC